CTTCCCGAGCGCTGAATTCGGAATTTACACAATTCCTCCTCTTTTTTCCAGACCACCTCAAACCCTTTCTCGACGATTCCACCTTGCGATTCGTGGACAAGCTCTTCGAAGCCGTGGAGGAAGGCCGAAGCTCCAGACACTCCAAATCCAACAGCGACCGGAACCGGAAGCGAGAACTGAAGGTGATTATTGATTATTGGTTGCTCGATTTCCGTGGTTTGGTGGCCGTGGAGGCAGCACTGGTACTCTGCCACACGTTCCTCTTCCAGAGAGGTACATCCCATAATGCCGAAAGTTCAAGAGAAAAGACCCTTCTCCATGATGAAGTGTGTGAGCCTTTACCTTTCGGTTCTCTTTCCCGTCGGATGCGGTCGTGCCGCGTCCTCCTTGCTGCCGGCCGAGGCGGAAGCTCGGGCTTTCCGTGCCTTTCACGCTCTCCGCCAGGCTCGTGGCAGCGGAGTGACTTCACAGGGCTCCATCTCTCCCTCCTTTCCTGCTCCTTCCCGTTGGGAAGAGCTCCCAGCTCTTTCCGCTGGGAGCGTGGGGTAGGTGCTCCCAGCTCCAACTCTTCCTCGCCCAGACGCGCTGCGTTGCGCGATTGTCTCCGTCAGCGAGCGAGCGGGGCTCCGCGGTGGGTGAGCTGGTGGGTTTTCCTGCTCTTTTTTCCACCCGGAATCAACAGCGGGTGGTTTTTGGCAGTGCCCCTTCATAGCACGAGGTTAATTCCAGCAGGGATTTAACTGCTCTCTGGTGTTTCTCCCACCTAACGCTGTCTGGGATGGCGGAAGTCTCCGGCATCCGAACCTCTTTTCACCTCCTTTCTTCTCTTGACTTTACTCACCATCTTCTGGAATTGTGTTTTTTCCGTCGCTCGCGTGCTGAGTTTCAGAGGGGCCACTCCGTGCTGCTCCCCCATTACAGAGTAAGTTTCCTTTCCCTTTTCCCGAGGTTCCTGTTCCACGGCGCTCTGTCTGACAGTTTTATTCCGCGCTCATCCTCCGTGAGCTGCAATCATCCTGCTCAGGATTTGAATCTCTTCGGGTGTGTTTGGAGGCAGCTGCCTCCACTCCCCGTTTTCTGTCGGAAACTTTGCTTTTTCTCCCACTGCCTGGCTGAGGCTTCAACTGGTGCCAGAGAAGGGTCTCCTCCAGGTGCCAGTATGCCCACCGGTTAACAAACCATGCCATGGAGCTGGTGCAGCCCAGTTTACTGGTCTGGAGAGGGTCTGATCATGCATCCCAGCAGTAGCTTGGGAGAACATGGATCTTCTGCAGCTCTCTTAGTCACAACAGAGGTGCCTGTAAGCGTCTTTCCAAGTGTTTCCGTGCTGCCGTTCCGCTGTAATTTGGGGATTGGGCTGGTGCAGCCACGCTCTGTGCCAAGCTGCCGCA